TCCATTATGTGATCACTTAAATGATCAGGTGATACTCTGAAATGCTGACAAACGCTTACCTCTCATACAGCAACTAGGTGGACTTCATACTGCATGAGATGTGACAAGAGCTATTCCTGACACACATCTGACATTTTCCAGTATTATTGGGAATGGACATAACAGAATCATAAATTATCCAGAGTATCTTTAGCTGTATCAAGATGTTGCCATCTGAGGCAATACTGGAAACTTGATTGGTTCAGGCATATTTGATTGTAGATCTCTAACAGGAATAACTGTGTGTGGGATTCCACTATAAAGCCCTTAGGTAAATATGCTAGGCTGTGTCTATTCGTACCAGAGCTGGTGCAGATATTTTATCAACCAGCAAAGGCCCACAGGCAGTTACTCATGTGATTATCTGATACAGACAGCAGCAATTATTTATTGCATGTCCCTATTTCTCACATTAGTTTTAACATGGAAGCAGGAGGAGAAAATGTATTTTAAAGTAACATTATGAGACATGTGGGGCAAAATACATGATACAACTGACACATGCCAGGTCATGGATGCACAACCAGACTTGCTGTCAGAGGTACATTGGTGGAACTCACCTAAAGCAGCGTTCATTTGCTTGGTGCTGCAAGGGATCACTGTAAGGAGGGAGATGGAGTCTCTGTTTTCCCTCCCAAACTGCTTTTGCCAGCAGAAACAGCAGGGGAGGGGGCTTTTGTCCCTTTTCTATGGCTCCAGTGTCCTTCCTGGGGCACATGGAGGCAAATGGGGGGGAGGGCAAAAAGTGGAGAAAACAGACATATTAAGCTGCCTTATACTGAATCAGACCCTTGGTCCATCAGGTTCAGTATTGTCTACTCAGACTGGCTGCAGCTCCCCAGGGTCTCAGGCAAAGGTCTTTCACATCACCTCCTACTGATCCGTTTAACTGCAGATGCCAGGGACTGACCTGGGACCTTCTGCATGACAAGCAGATGATCTACCACTGAGCCCCTCCAAAGATGATATAACAGCAAAACTCAAAATAATACAAAACAATGTGCTAATTCAGGGAACTTGTCACAAACAAAATATATAATTACAAATGCTATGTGTACTTTGCATAATACATGTTTACTCTTTAAATGTATCTATTTTTATCTTTCTAGAAATATTGGAGACAAAGTTATCCTTGGTGCTCATTCACTATCTAAATATGAGAATGAAAAACAGGAGTTTCAAGTTGTTACGGTGATTCGTCCCAGAAATTATAACAGTGACACGTTCGAACATGACATTATGCTTTTGCAGGTACATTTTAGAACTGAACATGAATGTCTGGGAGAGGGATATGAATTCTTGGGCTGGATCCAGCCAGTTTCTCTTCTGGTGAAAAGGTGAAAAGGCGGGCCCCTTTGACTACCCAAAGAAAGCAAAGCTTTCTGGAATGGACAAGAGCATGTGGTATAGAGGTTGTAATAAGGAGATGAACTGGGGAAGACTAAGGCGGAATCTGCATTTGTCTTTCCCACCGGTGTCCCAGCCTTCTGACTCCATCTTCAAAAAAGCTGTCTACATTTGGTGTTGTTTTCACACCTCAACAGTACTAGCATACTTTCGCACATCCACATATGTTTATCGTCCTTTGGGGTGGCTCCACTGTCATTCTTAACTGCTTTAAAAGAATCTTCTCCAAACAACATTCAAACAAGCACAGAGAAAGACGGCGTCACAGCAGCACAAAAATGATTTTAAAATGCAAATGCAGATTCGGCATAAGTGAAAATTTGCCTGGATCCAACCCACTGTATATTTCTCATCAGGTGTGGGATGCTTTCCCACTTAAAAGTCTGTGCAAGAGAACTTAATTCAAATGGGATTGAAGAGTACAAACCCCGAGTGCAAGAAGCTCCCAGAGGCAGATCTTCCCCACCTTCCCCATCCCACAGCAGCCCCTGGTTATTCCCAAAAAGCCAGTGCTGGGCAATTACGCCGTCTTCTTCAACAAAATACACACGTCACAAAAGGGCTGTAGTGAGGAGCGAGCTGAGAGAATCCGGTGGGGTTGCCCCCTCACTTTTCTCACACTTGGCTTTACTCTGCCATGTCTCTTCTGCTAACAAAAGTGGGCTTTTGTTTGTTAATGTGGTTTTTGTTTTCCCACACATGGTGCACTTTCCCCAGCCAGTTCTCAGGATAGTGGGACCAAACACACATTGGATTTCATCCTTTGTCTCCTGTTGTCTCTGGCCTCCATGGAAATTGGGGAAACTGGGACAAACATGCTCTTTTAAATCATAGGTTCACGTCCCTCTCAGTTACGTGAAATATGATCAAAGACTGGACTGAAACCGTTGGATTAAAGAACGGACCCAGGCAATGCTCCTTTTAAGCTGTGGAGTCTTGTGAGCAAAAACTCTACTTTGGCTGCGGTCACACGCAACATTAGCCACGCAAGAGATACGGAAGACAAGCGGAGTTTCCAGTCGCGATCTCACCAGCACATCTGGGAAGCGTAGTGCTTCCGTGGCACAACTGAGGCTTCCTGCCGAAAAAGCGCAGCAAAAAACTAGTACCTTGGAGGTACTAGTTTCCAGAAACTGCGGGGCAAGGGCGGGTGTCTGATCGCGTTTCCGGTGGTATCCGGCGCCCGCCCATGTCCCCTTGCGGAAAAGGGGTTTTTTTTCCCCACGTCTCCGTGGATGCGCACACGCACCCAACGGAGCATGCGCATTCGTAGTGTACACAAAAAAAGAAAACCAGTTCGCCGCGCCGCGCGCTTCTTCATTGCGTGCAGGCGTGTGTTGTGATCGGCACCTCTCCCTTGCCATGGAACCTCCACAGTACCTCCACAGAACCTCCACAGTAGGTCTGATCGCTTTACTGCATGTTAGTTTGCCCCGGGGCAAACAGCCACACTTCTCTTCTGCAGTTTCCTGCCCGTGTGGCAGGGGCCTTTGTGAGCTGCTGGCATTAAAGTTGTGAGCAAGCGATTTGGCTACTGCATAAATTAGTTTGTTCTGGAGCCACCCTTCCTGAGCTAAGACAAAAATGTGTGAGCTGCAGGGGTCATTTGGGGGGGGACGCAGGGGGACGCCATCCCCCCGGGTGAGGTGCGGGAGGGCGGGGCCTGGAGCTCCCCGCTGGAGGTCGCCGCCGGCTGTGGGGAGGACACACTTCCGGTGATGTCAGGGGGTGTGGCATATGCTAATGAGCTATGCTAATGAGTCCCCCTAGCTCTTTTTCTACAAAATGACCCCTGGTGAGCTGGAAGCTAAAAAACTGTGAGCTAGCTCACACTAACTCAGCTTAGAGGGAACACTGGACCCAGGATAATATTACTAGATTGCTTTTTGAGAATCTCTAAAAGCAGTGAAACAAAAAGATGAAACCTGATTTGCTTTTAAAACTATTACTTGCTAATACTATGCTAGGTATTTTGATAATTTTAGTATTTATCTTCACAGTAATTGTAGGGTGAACTTTTTCATTCCTGCATTCTTTTCTGTCTTGCTCATTTATTTAAAAAAAACCCTACTTATAAAATATAAACATTTCTACAAGAACTTTACAACAGAGTTGCAGCTATGTTGCACTGGAATCTTTGCAAGAAGTATAGCTTACCATCAAACAGAAATTCATGGGAGCACAAACCGGACAAGATCATGGAGAATTATGAAACAAAGATTCTTTGGCACTTCCAATTGCAAACAGATAATCACCTGGAGCATAACACCCCTGATACCACAACCATAGAAAAATATGAGAAATAGAGTTTGGATCTTGATATTGCAATCCTAGGAGACGGCAGTACAGAAAAGAATGAACAGAGGAAAACCACAAAATACCAAGAGCTATAGACAGAGTTAAAGGACCTATGGGAGAAGAAGGTGAGCATGGTGCCAGTTGTCAGTGGAGTCCTTGGAGCTGAATACAGACCGTGAAAGCGGGGCCTCACGATCCTTCTGACTTTTTGGGTTTTAAGCAGGAGGTGTCAGAAAAATTACCACAGGGATAACTGGCTTGTGGCGGCCAAGCGTTCATAGCGACGTCGCTTTTTGATCCTTCGATGTCAGCTTTAAAAAATAAAAAATAAAAAAAAGACATTTTGTGCATTGAGCAAATAACACCAGCTCAGCTCCAGAAGATGGTGTTGCTTAGAACAGCAAGAATCCTTTGAAGATACATCTGCAATTCCCAAGAACTTGGCTAGATCTCAAATTGCAGAACACCATCAACCAGTCAAATATCTGACTATGACAATTCATTATCATCATCATAGGATCCACCTGTTTGTGTTTCTGTCTGTGGCAGACTGTGGCTCATCAGGAAATGAAGCTAAGAGTCTCATGATTGGCCACTAGTGCCAGCATGGTCATGGGTGTTGTTGTACCAGGAATGAAGGGAATCAAACCGTGCTGGCCCAGATTATCACCAGAACAACCCCCCCCCCCTTTCCAGTGCTGTTTCCAAGGGAAGTTAACTTTGTCTGTATGTGGAAGGCATTACTCATCAGAGGTAAAGCTAGGAGTCTCAAACTTGACCACCAGTTTCAGAATAATGCTGGGTCTTGCAGTGTCAAAAATGAAGGGAACTTCCTGGCACAGATTAACTTCAGAAAGGTTTACTCACAAAAAGCCAGGAAGGGTGAGGCAGCACAGAAAGACAGGGTGGGAAATATCCCCTCTGTTATTGGGTGTGTGTGTGTGTGTTAACAACTTCCATGACCTATCACAGCCTGTGTTACGTGGTAGTTAGAGGGTCTGGCTAGGATCTAAGAGACTCAGGTTCAGATCTCCAGTCTGCCATGGAAACTTGCTGGGTGACCTTGAGTCAATCACATCCTCTCAGCCTAATGTACCTCACAGGTCGTTATGAGGATAAAATAGTGGACAGGAGAATAATGTGAGCCACTTTGGGTCCCCACGGCAGAGAAAGGTAGCCCAGACAGGGAACATGGAAAATATACCATGTTACAAAACAAACGGGTTTTAACAACTACCCTGACCTATCAGAGCCTGTGCGATGTCAAGGTTAGAGTGTCTGACTAGGATATGAGAGACCCAGGTTTGAATCCCCAATTTGCCACTGTAGCTTCCTGTGTGACCTTGAGCCAGTCACACTCTCTCAGCCTAATCTACCTCATAGGGTTGTTGTTATGAGGCTAAAATAGAGGGGAGGACAAAATTGTGAAATATTTTGGGTTGTCCTGGGTCAGAGCAGACTCAGCCAAGACCAAGGGGACAAAACAGAATCACTAACCAGAAGTTCAGAGTTCAGTCCAAGAGTCATACACAAGGGAAGCCAGCCAAAGGTCCAAGAAGCAGAGTCTGAGGAGGTCTAAGAGGCATAGTCAAGCAGGTCCAGGGTCAAAGCCAGAAGTTCAGGAGTTCCAGACAGGAACAGTTCCGGGTGGTGTAGTTGCGCATCTCCATAAAGGTGATGAGTTGCTCCCACGCCTCCCCCATCTGAAGCCCCGTCCTTTATGGGCGGCTCACAGCTGGGTCTCATTGCTTGTGAGGGAGCTATCGATTTGGCTCATTAACCCCAGGTGATTTGGCAGTTGCGGGGCAGCGAGGCGCACACTCCGCCTCCTCTCAAGGAGCTCCAGGCACGCCTGCCTCCTCCTGCATTCCCCTGGCTCCGGGGAAAGGGGAGGCAAGGCAGCCTGTGAAGTCTCCCCAAGATCTTGGGCTGTTGAGGTGCTGTCACTCTGGGGTGCCTCTTCCGTGTTCCCAGTGCTCATGGGGCTGGAATACATGCTGACCTCAGCAACTGGGGCACTAGGACCTGCCTCCACTGTCTCAGGGTCACTGACAGAGTCAGCTGGTGGCGCCTCAGAGGAGCTGACGGGGATATTATCAGCATCAGCTGACTGATTCCCAGCTAAAACAGGCTGGCCCACAACATGGGTCCCCACTGGGGAGAAAGGTTTGTCATAATTATAATTTGGGGTATAGTTAGCAAACAAGGGTGATCTTTGTTGCTGTTTCTTCATCCGGTATTTCTGCACCTCTTTTGGTAGGAGGCTGAACTACATGTTAAATATTCAGACTGCCATTAAATATTGCAAGTGAAGTAAGCTATGGGGTTGGTGAGCAAAGTGAACGGGCACACCTCTGGTACTTCTTACGTTGGATAAAAGGCCCCTAGCAATTATAATAAAGTGAAGCAAAGAGCAATCGCTTTGGCTTCAAGGAGAAAGCCGGCAATTAAAGCTCTCTTCCTTCGTCAATCACTACCAGCTCCAGGAAAAGAAGCGCTAACAATTTATTCAGAAATACCACACTCACTGTGAGTATACCAAACATGAAAAATTAGGCCATTAATCAAAAGGGGCTATAAAATAGAAGAGAGTGAAGGAACAATGTCCTCAATAGTGCTTTGCCAGTAAAAACTTTGTGAGTGGCAGTCAGACTCAAGCAGAGATAACAGATGATCACCCTTCTGAGTCCGCTGAGTCAACAGACTTAGAAGGGGTCAACTCCTTTTAGGTTTGTGCTGTGAATCAGGTCTGTTCCAGACTGTCTGGTACAGCTAGCATAGAACAACCAATATCCGAGACTGCCGTTTGTTTATAAACAACTATCTTGCATTCTTATTTCTTCAGCTTAATGGAAGAGCAAGGCTCAACAGAAGTGTGAAAACCGTTCAGCTTCCCAGAACTTATGAAGATGTCAGAGTAGGCACACAGTGTCTAGTGCTCGGATGGGGAGCAACATACAGAAAAAATTGGTCTGAAGTGCTGCAGGAAATCACGGTTACTATCTTTGACAGACATGTTTGCAAGGGTTATTATACCAAACCTGCTGGTCTAATAACAACCAACAAACTGTGTGCTGGTGTCACGAATGGAGGTGCCTGTAGTGTAAGTATATTTGTTTACCAATCCCGTTTTCCTGTAGGTTTAGGATAAGGGTTGGATTTAACCAAATAAAGCACTTTTGTAGAGATTTCAATGGGCATAGACTGGAGTAACTCCACATAGAATTGCACTCATCAATCAGTCACTAATTGGTTCGCCATTGCCATGATCTATTGACATGATTTACTAGCACCTCTAAATTACCAGCTTTCATTTATTGAATAAGTGTTGTCCCTTTTCTTTGCAAAGACACATCTCCTCCATGAAAAGGGCCTTGGATGTGGGCTCAGTTCTAGACTAGCATTTCCACAAGCACAAGGATTTTTGCCCATGTAGTGCAATTTTCTCTCTGGCTCCCACTGTTACATATTGATGGCACATTGTCCCTGACAAAGCAATTTTACTCGCACTCTTAGGACCTAAACTGGAAGGTACATATTAGTTCCAGTATATACAACTACTTTTGACACAAGGCCAGATATATTTGTGGCCCCAAATAGAAACGTTTTGGTGTGTCATTCAATTCCATATTAGAACATTCCAATTTTGGTCCTATTTTATTTATTGTTGATTACCTTACATGAGTTACAGGGACTCTGTTGCTTGTTGTATTTTACACTATTTGACCACTGAAAAAGGCTCTTGTTAGCCGAAATGCGTCAGGTCATATACTGTCTTTTTGTGTGTGTGTTTGTAACTTTGAACATTTTATGAGGCTTTATTTGGGCCCCTACTAGCTCCCATCTCTAGTTCCAGCTCCTGCCAACCTAGCAGTTCGAAAACAAGAAATTGCAAGTAGATAAATAGGTACCACTTCGGTGGGAAGGTAACAGCGTTCCGTGCGCCTTGGTGTTTAGTCATGCCAGCCACATGATCACGGAAACGTCTTCGGACAGTGTTGGCTCTTCGGCTTTGAAACGGAGACGAGCAAAAGGTAGGGGGCAGAGCCCTTTCCATGTCTATTTTGGCCTTTGACAGGGAACTAATTAGACCCTGGCTTGACTAGGGTTGCCAGCTCCAGGTTGGGAAATTTCTGGAGATCTTGTGGTGTAGTCTGAGGAGGGCAGGATTTGGATAGGGGATAGGCCTCAGCTGGATATAATGCCATAGAGTCCACCCTCTATGGTCCCTCAGATCTGCTGGCAGGGGATGGGAGGTGAACTTACTGGGAGTGGGGAGGAACACTGAAAATAAACACAACAGCCCTACGTGACCTGGAAGTTGTTATGCCAACTTCTCCAGGA